ATATATATATATATATATATATGATCCTGATTGACGGAATCAATGCATAGTGCGTTTAAAGAGATGGATTGCGTGGTCTGTTTTGACCTTAGCGATTTAATTCACCCTCTTCGCCAGAACAGACCCGTTCCCCAGTCACCTTTTGCATTTGTTCTTATTTTATGTTTGCTGTGAATTAGGCAGTGATCAATGAATGATGTTCTCTACCATATCTCGCTGTACGATGACTGCCACTGATGGGATTTGGCTAATCTCTTTTTCCCGTTGTTTTTCTCTCCAGTTCATACGACGTCAGTACTACGATAAGATCCCGTTCCAGGGAAATTTGTATCCCATGCCTTGTGGTGTTTTCATTCAATCTGTGCCTTCTGAAATGAACAAACCGGCGGCGGCAGTGGTGGTCCCTCGTTTAAATCTATTCTCCACCTACACGCATGGCGTTACCAGCCCAGATCCGGGTTCAATTTACGTGTGGCTCGATCGGCGATCACCGCATGATGATAATCGCGGATTGTTTGATGCTTTGCTGGGCACATGGATTGCTCGAAGCAATTTTCGTCTGTTCGCCGAATTAGTTTCCCCCGATTTGCTCTTTCATCCCGGGGTGAGCTTTTCCATCACATCGTTTTTTGTCGAACGTCAGATAACCTGTGCGATTTTTTTACAGTCGGCAACCCAATCTCTTGTACTCGAAGGATCCGCTTCCAACGTCTTAGTAGTATAAGTCAAGTCAAGGAATTACTTTATACACCCCGAGGAGTAGCTGTTCAGCAACAAGTGACTGCAAAGCTGCCAGCCACCAAAATTTACTGGTGGTGGATGATTTTGACTCTCATACTTTCGGGTCTTGAATGGTCTGACTACCACCACCCAAGTGTGTCGGTGCGGGTCCCACTCAGTTTTCGTCCCTCTTGTTATAGTTCACAGTTGGTCTTTTTCCCCCCAAGAAACGAAATCGTCATAACTTTTAAGAGTCTGATACGGTTATTAGTTTAGAGGAACTATTCGGAAAATGCCCGCACTATTCATTCACTGCAGTATGAATAAACAACTGTTTCGTCATTGTCGGCCCTCGTGGGCTTAATATTTGTGTCCCGGTTGCAACTCAAATCGTGAACCTTCAAAGTGGGTGTTGAAACCGTCAGTAAGTGTTTCAAGCTATCGTTTGTAGTATTTCAAAATGTTATATTTAGATTAGCCCAATGATTTATTGCAGGTACTTATAACCGCTGGGGTGTATGAACAATCAACTGACGGCCTGTCCTGGTTCGTTGTACTTACCTAGTTCCTGCGGTATTCATCATCGTTGGTCTATTATGAAGCCCACTTATTCCCTAATACTCCGATTTTGTTTTCTTCGAATTTTCAAATAACGTTGAACTTGTCTTCCCTGTAGTTTATTTTATTTAGTTTACCGGATTCCTAAAAACAGAATGTGTAGAATCTCTTGAGAAGATTCTGTGATGTGGATTCCACACTGGCAATCTCGTCTTCTGTTGACTTCGGAATTTGCGCGTCACTCGATCGTTCGGACGGATTACCAGTGTGCAATCCACATCACAGAATCTTCCCAAGAGATTCTAGATTACTCGAATCTGGCATTTTGAAATTTCATTCTCGGAAATCTTTTTGGAACTTTGCGACTCGATGGTCAAAACACGAAATCAGGAAACTGAAACAACGGACATCGATGCGAGCCAAAATGACCCCAAGAAATCAGAACCTTACCCGTATTCCATGGTGAACTCTTTGTCCCCCTTTTCAAAACATATTTTTTACGGTTCACACCATAACCCCAATGCCATGTAGTGCGTTAGTTACAACTCTAGCGGGCGTAGCGGTTATGTATCCCTTAGGGATGAGGCACTTAAATTGTTATACTTGAGGAAATTGAGCTAGAACTGCGAGACCTATAGCTTCGAAGACGCAAGTTACAAATCAAGAGAGGTGAACTACAGCATGGCGATCTTAAGGTGGACAGCCCATCTGTGAACCCGACTCTCGACAACGGTCCCCAAAGAGATGGCGTCATAGGTCGGAGTTCAAGGTTGATGAAGTGATAAAGTCCGCTAAATCCGATCGTTTCATGTCCAAGGTGGACCTACCCCAGTGTACGGCTACTAAAAGTGGTCTACTCTCCACCGCAGCTAGCCTATACAAATCGCTTGGTTTTGTGACTCCCTTATTGCTCCAACCAAAACGATTTCTGCAACAGCTATGCCTACAAGGTTGCGTTTGGAATGAGCTCGCGCACCAGACGACCATATCGACTTGGGAAGCCAGGCAAGGTCACACTCGAAAAATCGAAAGGCTAAGTGTTCCACGCTGTCTTATTGCTACCGAATGTGTTATCGAACGGGCATCTCTGCATATGTTCTCGGAGGCTTCCGAGCGGGGCTATGGCGCAGTGGTATATCTGCGTTGTCAAGATGAATCGAAGTTAGTCCGATACACTTTCGTCATGGGTAAATCTGGAGTAGCTCCGTTAAAGCCCGGTACCATCCCTCGCATGTAGCTGCAAGCAGCAGCGTTATCAATAAAACTGATGCGATATATAACGAAGGAAATGAGGATCGACCAAGATGTAAGCCACTCCTGGACTGCCTCTACCTTAGTGCTACATTATGTGGGAAGTACAGAAGCAAGAAAAAATTGTGACCGATGACAATCCGCACAGAAAAGAAAGAGGAAGAAGGGGAAAGCTCGGGACGAATGTTCAAAGCAAAGCGTCGCGTCAGTGGTAAAAGAAGTGGATGGAATTGGGAGAAAAGTGTCGATTATGACCACAAGGGTAGTTATAGATAGAGACATCCGTAAGGTTTGCCCGCTAAAGAGAGGTGATGAGAGTTAGAGACCCCACCGTTGTAGGCGCACTTGTTTTACATGTCGGAACGATTGTGGCAAGAGTAAATTGTGCTGTGGTACCAAAGAACAAATGGAAACAGAGTAAACTGGATACGAGGAGGACGATAGTAGTAGGAGATAAACGGATTCAAAAGAACGTCTAACCAGACCCATGGTTGGTCTTATCATCGAATACCTAAACGGCAGAGATCGATGATGCTTTCTTTGCTCATGCACAACAAGCCGAGTCCCGTGTCCGTGTTTTGTGTTTGAGCATCCGATGCACGTTTGGGCTTTGGCCGTGTGCGCTACACTCAGAAGTCAAAGGGTTCCGTTCAATCTTTAACGTAATAACACACTTATTTTTTCTTCTACGTAAAATGTCAAGTTTTCTGGTAAAGGGATGTCTGATGTTTGCAATGTTTCAAAATACTCGTCGTGAAGTGGTATGCACCTTTGGAGGAGAGCAGTGGGGAATGCAACCACATAGGTTTATTTTGTGAACTGGGTACTGTTATCTGTGGCTGGATCACGTAATATTCATCTGTTGACACGACCGCGCCGTTTGTTGAAGAATAGAGTATCTGAGAAGTGTGTCAATCCTCAAGAAGTTTAATCTGCATATCTCAGGTCCCGTAGGGTCTATGGCCAGCTTTTGCCACCTTTTGCGGTCTCCAGTGAAGTTCGGCAAAACTGTCCTGTATCCCTATTCCTTTTCAACTTCGTCATAGAGGACATTCTACAGAATGCTTCGAACTCCTCCCAGGGAACAGAGTTCTTGACTTATAACATGCCGATGACATGATCTTGCTGGGTGACAACACACAGGCAGTCCAATACGCTTCGAACCGCTTGGCAATCGAGGTGTGGTATGCAATTTGCACCTTCCAAGTGCAGGAGTATATGCCTGCACTCACCCTCTATGGTGATGAGACAGAAGTGGTCGAACGCTTTAAGTACCTCGGGAGCTTGATCGTAGCTGGTGTTGATGTTGAGGAGGAGATCACATGACAAATAGCAAAAGTCAGAGCAGCTTTTGTCAACCTGCGACACATTTAGTGTCACATCGTTGTGGTTTGTAGTGTTCTGCTTTTTGATTTCGAGACCTGGCCTCTCCGAAGTGAGGATATTAATCAATTTTCTATAATCGACCACCGATGTCTGCTGATCGATCGTTTTGTCTAATTCTTGCTTCTATCTTTTGTGTTTCGTCCAGGCCGCTCCGGTTCTCACTCACGCTGCGCACAACATATTAACTGATCTAGTTCGACCGGTTCAACGGTTTATCGCAGATCACCACATGTCACCGCATATGGCGCGGACAGTTTCACTCATGCCTGATTTCACTTTACCTTCGGATTATGAACTTGTCTCCCTGAAAACCTTCAATCTCAAAACAGAGTTGTTTAAACGTGAGTGTAATGGTTTTCTGATAACGTTTCACCTCCTGTTTATCTTCTACATTTCAGTGCATCAGTTCACCAATAGTTTGTTCTAGACTTACTTTTGAGCGTGTTTCGGTTTGATTTGAAAACCCCTAATTGCTTGCAGTAACGATCAATCATGGTGTTATGAGGTACTACTCACATTTGTGAGTAGTTTGTAAAAGGGTGCGATTGGCGGTTTCTTTCAACAGTCAAAAATAAATAAAACCTGTTAGAGCGAATTGCTATATTCAGTATAGTAACCACAAGAATGCGCACCTATTAGTGGACCGTTCCATTAACTATCCTGTGGACGTGTGGGAATTCCAAATGAGACATTTTGTTGTACGTATACTAATTTAGCGATACTCTGACCGTTATTCATAATAAACAACTATCTTCGCCCAGGCACCACCTTTCGGATTTATAATGATGGTACCACAGTACATTTAACGACTTGTGCTTTTGTGTTCACGCGCTTCGCTCCGTGTGAATTATCGCGCGCTCCATCTCAGCGCATTTCGCGCACTCACATTTGGTCGTGTGACATCGGACATCGCACGCCTTTGCACTGATCAACGATGCACTAGTCGCTGGTTCACTGTCAGTTCTATTTCACCTCCACGTGACTGGCCATTCATGTAGTTGAATCACCAGACGTTGCTGGCAGCCTAGTTTCATCTGGACGCGGAACTGCTAGGTTACCCAAAACACGCTTTCGTCCCTCTTACTATGGTCCGTAGGCTCCACGTCATCAGTGCGAAATATTTCAACCTTATCAAAGCCTGTTGTGCTTGTAACTTAATCAGTGCAGTGCCCTCGGGAAATACCAGCCCGATCAGATCTTCCAACCAGATGGCTCACAGACATGTGTTGAACCTCCAGTGTGTCTCATGATGCAATCATATAGCATTTCTGCTAATATCATCGGTTTCGTACAATCACACCTTCCACGAACATTCTCGAATGACAAAAGGGAGATTCATTAGTCAAAATGATGAATTCCCACTATCCTTTATTCGGCACAGGCCTCACCGATCGTTCTGAACCCATATTTTGATGAAGTTCGGTTAATGTCAAACACGAATGCGCCTCTTCGATCGAAATACATGTTCATTGAATCATTGAGACCGTGCAAACTGAGGTGGGTTACCAATCACAACTATGAACGAAACAACTGGCACTTGAGAGCTCTAAATGGGCATTCGAGTATCCTGTACATGGTCGCCCATTCTGTGGGCGTCGCTGATTATTATTCTACTTTTGCAGTACCATTATATCGTGATGCGAACTAACTGAATGTGTTTTTGCCTTGATGCTGATGCGAGGCACTGAATGAGAGAACGAGCCAACCACAGTAGACAGTCGATACAGGTGGCAAACTGGTTGAACACAACCAGATAGGCGCGTCCATAATACCTGGTAACTACATGTGGCTATTGATTCATGATGAGTAGTAGTATACATCTCAAACATACTTGCATATAGAATATGTTGGATGAAAACTATCGAATATTCCCGAACTTTCTTTGGGAGGTCTCATGTCTGAGACCAGTGTACTATATGGTTGCGAAACATGACTGCTGGATGTGTTCAGCATTGCTGTTTTCGCAACGGTACCAGCGGCCGGTCAGCAATGATCAACTGAACAGCCAAGAGTTTGATGCAACTAAATCACTCTAAATAACATGACATTGTTTACATCTTCACTGACCTGTTCACACTGTTTCTACCAATCAGTTTTCTGTATTCGACCATCGGTATCTCGGATTCGTAGCCCGTGTCTCGTGAGAGCATCACGTGAGAGATAACGATTTTTGTCGTCGCATGCTGGTCGTTGATACAGGAAGTTGCCCTAAGTCGCCTCGGATGACTCTGTTGTGGTGTGAGTATGCCTGCTCATTATCTAATTTTCCGTGCTCTTTGCGTGCGTTAGGCAAAGCTGGTGGCGATCAAACCAGGATATGATCAAAAAAGATAAACGTATGCAAAAATAGCAAAAGGTGTACATTGAAACGTATACGTAGCTATCCAAAAATGTGATTGCGAAGATACGCGCACTGCGCATCAGTTTCAGTTTTACAACCATTAACCATGCATTTTCGTGCGCCGATTTTGGTTGCTGTCTTTTGGTTGCCCATTTGGATAAAAGAGCGAAATGAAGATTGGAAAGTCGAAGCACATTCAAGCGGAAGATGGGGAATACATATAGAGTGGTGTCAGAAAAATAACGAGTGGATGCACGAGCGCCACTGTTTGCGACACCCAGCCATATCACTAGTGGTGTTAGGAAAATAACGAGTGGATGCACGAGCGCCGGTGTTTGCGAAATACATGCAGAGTGGTGTTAGAAAAATAACGAGTGGATGCACGAGCGCCACTGTTTGCGACACCCTGCCATATCACTCAGTGTCTCTGACCATCGGTTACGATCATCCCGAGGTCCCCAGCCAGGGAGCCTAACAGGACCTATGTGACCTTCGGTTACGATCATCCCGAGGTCCCCAGCCAGGGAGCCTAACAGGACCTATGTGACCCAGTTACCTGCTTAGGGTTTTCATAGCACGAGCGCCACTGTTTGCGACACCCAGCCATATCAATCAGTGTCTCTAACCATCGGTGACCACTGTTTGCGACACCCAGCCATATCACTCAGTGTAGCTAACCATCGGTGACCATCATCCACGGGGCCTATGTGACCTAGTCTCCTGGTTAGGGTTTTCATACCCTCATGCCAGGTCCTAGCTTGCCCGCCCTTTATCTTTTCCCAATCGCTACCAGCCTTGGCAAACATCGTTCGCCGTGGTGACATGCGTAGCACATGTCCCAACCAGCGTAATCTATGGAGGTCGATCACTTGTTC